TGCCCTTTTTTGTGTGGTTGGACTTGGAACGAGTGTGAAAACAGTAAAAAATGATCGTTGATTGCCTTAGCAAAAAGGATAATATCGACCGATTACTTGAACTTTGCTTGCACAGACCGCTTGCATTGTTATTTTCTCAGCCTTAGAAATAATTCCTTTGAGAATACAGTCCCCAAAATGAAATTCGTTGTGGCGGCCTAACTCTACTCCACCGAACTTAACACTTAGAGGTGACGTGTGGTTATGGCTCCTCCCTACACACAAATAGCGCTTTTGCTTTTGCCGTGAAAGTTGTGAGCCGCCGTAAGTCATTCATTCCTGAGAACGGCACACTTAGACCAACGGCCAGACCTGTTACCCGGATGAATGTACTCTACTAACGTATACACGAGCGCGTGCATTATGCGTTGAGGTGTACATGTACATGATTGTACGGGTGGTTTGCATTTATAGTACATATAACGCTGGGGATATGAGAACCATGAATTTCAACATCTCCTGTCAATATCAGTGGCAAATAGACCTGAGTTTCAATGACAAATGTAATAATGTAAACTTATTGTAGGCATTCTTTTATGTTCGTCTTTCACCCCCCCCCCCGGCACTGAAATATTGCATACGGCAAGGACATACTGTACAATTAATGCGGGAAATAGCGTCATCGGTGCTGAGTTAGGTTGACATGCAAACTCGGCTAGTCCGGAAGAGAGAAAAATCTAGTGGAAAACTAATCACAGCCTTCGTACCTTTCTCCACCACAGCCTCCTTTTGAAAATTTCAGGAAAACTTCGAATTCTTGGTTTCAAGCCTTCAAAATCGCACCGTACGGTAAACAAATTACCGCTCACGACAAGAGCTTTACACAAAATTCACTAGTTTTGTCCACTCTGTATACTATTTCTTGATTTCATTTTCACAAAATACGTCAGAAAAAGGCCTTATCCTACCATGAAAACATTTTGGTCGGGTAGTTTAATTCCAAAAAGTGAATATGACACATAAATTTCATTAAATGAAACAGCTGCTTGCTTTGCACGAATATGCATAATCCTCATTGCGTATGCAAATGACCCTAAAAATGGGACATGCGCAAATCACCCCCCCCCCCCAAAAAAAATACAGTAATAACCAGTTTAGAATGTCCTCGGTCACGTGGGGCTGCCGATTCTACTTTAACATTGATCCTGATTCCTACAGTACATGCTGAACAGAGGTAGGTTTGTCTGGTGACACAGAAACTGTTCATATACTGTATATGAGTGCTCACAGACTAAAAGTCTAACCATTAAGTATTGTACACGTACACTGCACTTGCTCAGTGGAGCTTGTGGCGGCGGGTTTGTCTGATGTAGGCCTGTGCACGTTCGTACAAGTANACAGTAATGTAAAGTACTTTTAAATCTCATAATTTTAAAAACACTTTCTAAGAACCTCAGGTACATAAGAAGGTATCACCACCGTTGTAAAACCGACACCGACCTCAATTTCTCTCGATGATGGTCGCGAAAACCTACAAAAAATACTTCAATACATCAGCGAAAAGACCCCTCGTCCATGAAGCTGTATAACACTATACAGCAAGAAAAAGAGTGGGGAGTGGCGCGGCTGTTGAGGCTGATGACAATTCCAACCCCCCCTTCCCTTCCATAAAAATCTAATGCACAGCAAAAATCCTTTTGGAATAATCCTGACCTGCCCCTCCCCCTTAGCAAAAGGATAATATCGACCGATTATTACTTGAACTTTGCTTGCACAGACCCGTTGCCTTGTTATTTTCTCAGCCTTAGAAATAATTCCTTTGAGAATACAGTCCCAAAAATGAAATTCGTTGTGGCGGCCTAACTCTACTCCACCGAACTTAACACTCAGAGGTGACATGTGTGGTTATGGCTCTTCCCTATACACAACTAGCGCTTTTGCGTAATTTGCCGTGGCGCTTTTGCTTTTGCCGTGAAAGTTGTGAGCCGCCGTAAGTCTTCATTCCTGCGAACGGCACACTTCGACCAACGGCCAGACCTGTTACGCACGTACACGTACCCGGATGCATGTACTCTACTAACGTATACACGAGCGCGTGCATTATGTGTTGAGGTGTACATGTACATGATTGTACGGGTGGTTTGCATTGAAAGTACATGTAAAGCTGGGGATATGAATTTCAACATCTCCTGTCAATGTCAGTGGCAAATAGACCTCAGTTTCAATGACAAATGTAATAATGTAAACTTATTGTAGGCATTCTTTTATGTTCGTCTTTCCCCCCCCCCTGCGCTGAAATATTGCATACGGCAAGGACATACTGTACAATTAATGCAGGAAATAGCGTCATCGGTGCTGAGTTAGGTTGACATGCAAACTCGGCCAGTCGGGAAGAGAGAAAAATCTAGCGGAAAACTAATCACAGCCTTCTTTTGAAAGTTTCAGGAAAACTTCGAATTCTTGGTTTCAAGCCTTCAAAATCGCACCGTACGGTAAACAAATTACCGCTCACGACAAGAGCTTTACACAAAATTCACTAGTTTTGTCCACTCTGTATACTATTTCTTGATTTTATTTTCACAAAATACGTCAGAAAAAGGCCTTATCCTACCATGAAAATATTTTGGTCGGGTAGTTTGATTCCAAAAAGTGAATATGACACATAAATTTCATTAAATGAAACAGCTGCTTGCTTAGCACGAATATTCATAGCCCTTATTGCGTATGCAAATGACCCTAAAATGGGACATGCGCAGATCAACCCCCCCAAAAATTACAGTAATAACCAGTTTAGAATGTCCTCGGTCACGTGGGGCTGCCGATTCTGCTTTAACATTGATCCTGATTCCTACAGTACATGCTGAACAGAGGTAGGTTTGTCTGGTGACACAGAAACTGTTCATATACTGTATATGAGTGCTCACAGACTAGAAGTCTAACCATTAAGTATTGTACACGTACACTGCACTTGCTCAGCGGAGCTTGTGGAGGCGGGTTTGTCTGGTGTAGGCCTATGCACGTTCGTACATATAGTTTAAAACAGAGCAGCTCGGGCACAGGAAGTTCCTCGTCCTAACCTAACCCCAAGATGGTCGTCTCGGCAGCAGTTGGTGGCGGGGCAGTCACCGGTGTCTTCACCGTCACGGGGACAACGATCGCTCTGGGGGCAACTGCGTTAGTGCTCGTCGTTCTTCTCCTACTGTGTCTCGGAGGGAGTAGCGGGGGCTTGGGCGCGGAATCTCCTCCAGTGGCGCCTGGTGAAAGATGTGTCTCTGGTCACTTGGGCAGTAAGTTAACGTTGTCAGGCTTCTTTTGAATGAAATATAACATTACCATGAAGTGGGCGGCATTTCATTGAACTAATGAACTAAATGGTAAATCAGTGTTACCATGTTTTCAGAGCGAGGAATCTGCATTATGTGTTTTGTATTGTTTGTTTCCTGGTAATCACTTAGATGCGGCCTAAACAATTACTCGTAGGAATGTTACACTTGACAGGCTTTTATGAGTTTAGAACACATGCATTACTTTCAAAGAGTGGGCCTATTTAAGTAATGTAAAGTGTCTGCGAAGCAAGTAACAGTTTAAAGTCATTTTAAGTGATATATCTCTTGTCAAATAACACAGTTTAGGTGTAATGGACAGAAAAATGTGTCTCACGTCGGACCTCAAACTAAAAAAATGACCCATAGGGCCTATGCTACTGTATGCGGAGAACCATTTTAATTTTGAGGCTGATGGGGCGTTTTAAATCGTTTCTCTCCCCAATCAACTTCAGTCATGACAGGGGCTCAGCCCTCCTGGATCACTCTCAATCGGATCGGGAAGGAGAAGGGTGACGTCATGTCTTTGAAGGTCGGCCATTGGGTGATCATGCTGAACACCTTCGCGGCCATCAAAGACGCAGCCATAAACTTCGTCAAGGAGATGGGTTCCAGACCAACCAATTACACCAGTGAGTGGAAAACGTTTTTCTTTTCTAGATCTTCCGCCCGTCGCCATTTTGAACAAAAGTAGCCTTCAAAACGTCTTCCAAATTCCTGCCGGCTGTTTATAGTACAAGTCGAGATTTCGTAATTCAGTGTTTGTCACTAGGCCAGCACTTTTATTGAAGCTTGTGGTGGGGGGGGTTCCCCGGGCCAAACCTACGTTTGCACAGACCAGTCTAAAACCCGTTAGAGTGTAGCTGACTTTCCCAAACCCAAGCTTTCCCCAAACGACAGACCACTCAAAGCGATCTCACGGCAAGGGAGCAGGGCAGCGAGCTACCGATCCTATCCCCCTGCGGCGCACGCTGCATGGTTGACAAACCCATGACGTCGCATACTAATCTGTTCATCGCGTGAAGTTGAGTTCACCGCACAACAATAACGTATTTGTGCTTGTTTGCGCAATCCGAAACTAGAAAAATAAGCGTAAGCTTTCGGAACATTTGCATAAAATGGAGACTGTAAACTCCATTTTGATAGGACAGACATTCGATGCAAGAGTTTAAATGAATTTTGAATTTGATAAAGTCCATGTAGGCCTACTTGGCATCACACGCAGCGAGTGCTATTCCGCCCTGTCAATTTGTTTTGATTTTTTGGCTCCCGGGATTTTTGTCAAACCCGGCGCATGTTTGTTGAAGTGTAAGTCTGAAATCAGGACGAAATTTTTCTAGAAATTCCATGAAAATGAAATTTTCACAACAATGGGCCAACAGTTTAGCTTTCGAAACTGCACTGTCTGAAATGTGGTAGGCCTATCAGACAACTGAAGTACCATTTCTTTTCTAGCGATTCGATAACTAGGAAAAATCTGGAACGACTGCACGTACGTCCTCTGCGAGTGAAATCCCCTTTGTCGCCAAAACAGTGAAACATGCCAAGTTCCTGGAGTAAAAGTGATTATGGGTACGATCCATATGTTGAGCCATACCCGACGCACGAACGTGGCCCAAGTTAGACAGGTTCCCATTCAGTACGTAGTCTCCAGACGTCTTACAGACGTCCTCTAAACCGGTAGTGGGTAATGAACCCGGCAGAATCCTGCGGGTGTATATAAATGAGGAAACGGTGCTCGCTCAATGTACACATCAAGCAGATGCATATATTTCACCACCATTTATTCTTTTATTAATTACAATAGGCGATGATATGGTGACGGCGATGATGATGATGATGGTTCAATCGAAGTTAGAACAAATTAACACCTAATCACTAAACCGAACTTAATGAGCAATAGTTGCGTATATGACTAACTCATTACTTGTCCAAAAAACGACTCTCATTGTTAAACCTAAATCATTATTTCTTATCAAATTGTGAGAACTAGAGTAATCTTATAGATTAATCTCCAAGACATGCATCCATAATCACTAAAAGAGGATAAAAAGAAAGAACATTACAGCATTTGGCTTATCCGAGAACAATGCAATTTCCTTGTCCTACTCTGAAGCTGTAGCCGACGTGGCGAATGACCATGTGACTATTTCGTGTAGTATTTCTGTGCACAGATGCAAGAATAGAAAGCCTGCCATGCAGAACTGACTTTAAAAATGGAATTTGTCTTTTAAAGGCATTTGGGTCAAGTGACCAGAGTCACCCAGGTCAGGTACAGTAGAAGGAGATTTTAATTTTGCAAACCACATGCTGGTTAATCAGTGCAAAGGGTTCTGCATAAACACGTACATGTACAATCATGTGCTTAATTAAGACGAGTTACGTTGATTATTCTTGTTTAGATGGACTCAAAAACAACATTAAAGCAATGTAGCTCTACACACGTACTTTATCCGGGCTATCCCCTTGTTATGCTATTTTTTAAATTGATTTACGGAGAAAGCACCGTTTTAAAAGTTGGCAGAAGTCCTTCAATAGAGAATAAATGAATCCCAAAACACGAAAATGCACCAGTGACGACAGCCCTTCACCAATCACAAAAGCCCATCACCAATTACAATTAATTGGTAGTGAAAGAACATCATTGACCACCAAAACCCATCGACGATTACAAAGCTGGCCATTGCCAGTGAAAGACCATCACCGATCGCAAAAACCCATCACTCTTTCAAAAATGCATCAACTATGGAACGTCCAGCACCGCTAGTGAATATGCATCACCGATTGCCAAACTGCATCACCGATTCAGTAATCGCATTAAATGCCTCTTTGGCGTTTCATATTTACTACCCTGCAACTCTATAACCTTGACTTTATTCGGAAACGTACATGTACACTCGCGCACTTATGCATGTACATGTACGTGTACAGTTCATTCATAAATTAAAAAGACTGGCTCTTTATCTCTACACCTTCCCTTGCGAGCCTTTGCCTTTTCTTCTAACTTACTGAACATTCTTTTTCTAGAAATTCTATGAAATTAGATTAAACGAGACCAAAGTTTAAAGAAATTTAGCTTTAGAAGTTTAAGTATTATTGCCATTTACCAATAATGAAATATTTGGCCCATCAGTTAAAAAGGGTATGCAATTTTGTTTTACAAACCTCAGAGTCCAAGTAAATTATTTGTACTTAATTTCCCTCATTAGCATACTACATAACATTGATTTTTTTCTTCTCCTGTTTGGCTACACTTTCCTGCTGGTTTTTAAGTCCTTGACCCGTCTACAAAACCCTAAATACTTACATGTGCCCCCGATGATGAAATTCAAATTCTACTCGTGCGAGAACTTGCAAATAACTGAAATGCAACAGAGTGGAACTATGGAGCTGTAAAAGGTTTACTGAGTCTATTTTTGACTCATTGCTGTGCTGTTGCACAATAAAAATCTTTCATTGCTGGAGGCACCTACTCTACATGTATGATACTCGTATACTTTGCTTGACAATGTCAGGATTTCGATGTATATTTTGATATACGCAACTAATCCCGCTGGTTCTATAAGGTTTGTCTTAACCCGGTCTTAGGGCCCAGTCATTGGAATTGAAATTTAAATTTGCCGCCATATTCTGTCCTTCCTCACTTTTCACATTAGGCCTGCTTGCTTTAATCTATTTTTCATCATTTCTTTCCTCTAAGAGGTATAGATTTACATGGCATATGTGCAACATGAATACAAGTTGGTTTCTAGTGGTTTAATAACCTGCAAACAGTGTGCCAAATTTCTTTGTGACAAAAAGATCGTGCCTTCCTGCTGTTTCATTTTAGGGTAAACCTAGCTGCACTTCAGCAGATACAGGGCTTTATGCAATGCCCTCTTTTAATGTAAGGTCATATGACACACGATGATATCATCCTGATGTCTTTACACTTTTCATCTAATCGTATCCATGTTTACGTACCCAAAATAGTCTGACCGATCAGAACTGAACTATATTACAGGAGATAGAGAGTTTTACGTACCGGTATCGCACCTTTAATGTGACGTCACATTGCATGTAGTGACGTCATCATGACATCCTCCGGGAATCTTGTGCAAAAGGACCAGGAGAGGGGAAAATAAAAATCCCCACAAAACTTCACGAACGGAAACGCTTGCCCGTTTAAGCTTAAGCAGAAGAGATAAAAAGAAAGGAATAAAAATTTCACGAAATCTGTTTGAGGGGTCAAAACACACCTAACAAAATTTAAGAACAAAAGTTGTTTCTGCAGTCCTGCTAAGAAATACGACGTTGGTGTATTTCTGTGGTTTGTTTGGGGGTTTCTATCGTTCATTCCCTTTTTCCGCGTACGTTTTCCTTCTAGATTTGCTGCTCCAACATGTTAGTGTTTCAGACGACAAAATCAGCAAGAGAGCTCCGTAGTATGGCTTTAAAGTACAATGTCGATTAAAGCTATTAAATTTGTATTAGGTTTGTTATCTGTAAAAAAAAAATGAAAAAAAATCATCACACCGTGTTTACTCACAGTTGTCCAAACGCTCGTGAAAAAAATCACGAGCTTCGGAAATAGCGTTATCGCAGTGAAGACGTGTGCACTTCTAAGCAGGAGGTCGTGGGCACAAGTCCCACTCGAGTAAAACTCGTGAATCTTTTTGCATGATTACACATTGATACAGACGTCGATATTTCATCAACTTAATCCACGAGCTGACATTTGGAAGCAAGCAGCTTCAATATTTATATATACGTCTGTCCTCGAATGTTATTAAAAACATGTTCGAGATGCAGTTCATTAAACTCCAAATGATTCATGGTGACAATTTTGCTAGTTGTCTGTGGTAAGTTCAATTCAACTTATTCGCCACACTGATAAAATTGTTAAATTTTGGCTTCCAGGTTACAGTCATATAAAAAGTAAAGACATCCAAATACCTTCAATAATGAGCACTTATTAAAACACAGAAAGAAAACATCAAAGTAAAATCAACAGTCAAATGAAAATCCCCTCACCCCAGTTACGTCAATTACTCTGTTAAAGAATTGCCAAAACAACCAAACTGCTGTATAAACTTACATGCAAAAAAGGACCAGAAAATACCCCGTCTTATTTCTTCTGGACCTCTTCTCCCCTTCGAGGCTATCATCCGGAAAGAAATTAGCGGACTCATTGCTGTGTGGAATCTCCGTTTTTCACCCAAATCACTGTTTGCAAGAGCTTGCTGCTTCTTCTGAAGAAAACCCCGGATGCCCTTGTTATTCTGAGTTTGCTTGGCTAGATCTTCACCACTCTCTCCGGTATGACCAAGCTTTTGCAAAACATTATGTAATCACTAGTGGCTCCAGTTGCTTCGTTGAGGGTATTCCGTGTAGTGAACACCTCAGTACATTCAAAGCAGCTATGGAGCGTCTCAATGCTGTCCTGCTTTCTTGACAATCGATTTCACCTGGTTTAATTTCTGCTTATACTAAGGAATGTGATGAGTGATCTCTTGATCTGACAAACCCAGGCCAGATTTCCTATAAGCTCTGTTCTCTTCAGGAACGTTATCATAGCACTTCCCAAAGTCTGGTTCCCTCTTGTTGATATACTAATGATAGTATGGTTATGTAGGTTTAAGGTTACAAGGTAACGTCTCCCAGTATGAACTTAAATGAATGTGCCTCCAGCTGCTACATTGCCTCATGCACTTTAGCAGATGTGACATTCACATCATCTCTGGGATAGATGTACCCCACGGTAATGAAGAGTTGGTTGAACTCCGCAGGCATAAAACGGCCATAGACCCACAATCAGTAATTCTATGCCTGGAGTACAGAGCCATTGTTGCACATAGGTAATATTTCACATCTGTTGTTGATATAGATACACACTCCCTCCAGATGATTTTCCCGGTTCCAATGCTCTATCTAATCGCTCACATTGTGTAATCATCAATGCTGATGTCATGTTGTTGTTTTGCTTTTAATATGAATAGAATGTATTGGTGGTGTGCACTAATCCTCACACCGAGCCGCAGCTGTAGCCGTCTATCGGCGTTAAGGGGTTAATGGCGCTTTCAGCTATCTCGGGCTATTTGCGCCAATAAGTATACGTTTTTTCATAACCTTTATTAATCGGAATTACATTACTGGGTTAGGAAGAAGAGAGGCAGGAGGAAACTGGAGTACCTGGAGAAAACCTGCGAGAATATGGACTGGAATCCAAATGCACTTAAAGCCTGGGCCAAGCCGGGACTCAAACCTGGACCTCGTTGGTGCAAAGCGAGGAAGGAACCGCTACGCTAACACGCTAACCTGCTTCACGTGTTGGTGTCATGATCAGAATCTGACGATTTGAACCACGTCCCAGTGAAACACATTATGCAACTACACGTGTATCCCAATACTCGTGCCGATAAGCCATACACGCTTTCAGTTCATCCAATGTTTTCTCAGGGATTTTCGTTTCCTTTCATTTCATTTATTATTTCTCAAGGCATAAACATATAGAAAACGTACAAGACAACGATACAACTGCAATGGCAAGAGCCTTGATGGATTACCAAATGCGAACTTAATCCCAATCGAGTGGCTCTCCAAATGTTACCATGCTACAAAAACAGTTTAAATACAGGATCTGTAAAAATGTGTACAACTAGGGATTGGGCATTCCCTGTAATTACAGGCAGTAGTGAAGGGGCAAACTTCCTTAGCCTTAGCCTTAGCCTCATTCGGAACCCCCCCCCCATCGTCCTCGTTTCTGGCGTTTCAGAAAAACAAACGTCAGGCAAAGATATCTGATGACTACCACAATGTCCGACCTGCGACCTCAGAAGCACGTTCCTGCCCGCTGTACACCCTTGGTTCTGGCTGTATGGGCAATTTACGACATGATAAAAATCCACTCACTAGAAAGACAAAAAACACGAAATGCCAAATACAGATTGGACTTCAAGCCATGCTAAAACATCAGACCTTCAAAAAGTAAGTAAGACAATTATAAACATTAAGTTTCACAAAACAACAGGAGCGACTGTAACCCTGTGGTCGCTACGGACCAGCACCCTCGAACTCGTCGGCACACTAATAAGGTGACATTCAAGGACTCCAGTTGTTTGGAAGTGGGTGGTTTGTGATTTATATTTCAGCTTAATTTGCTCTTTTTCTATCTTGCTATAAAGCCAACTTGCTTAGTGAAAATGGAAAGGACATTTCCCTGGGAGAGTATAGTCATGACTGGCTTTTACTTCGAGAAATGGGCATCAAAAATCTCAGGTATGTGTATGCGGAATTTTATGTTCATAAATAGATAGGACCAGCATGTGCTAGAATAGTTAAGCCTTGACCTTTAACCTTTTCCCCAATACCCCTTCATAATACTCGTGCAGTTGAGTAATAAAGGCTTTTAAGGAGAAACAGACCCGCTTATTTTGTGTCACTTATCGCTTGAACTTACACGAGGAGACCTGCCAATTGAATCTATATTGATTGCCATTAAAAACTTCATTGGTTGAGTTTGACTCTGTATTTGTACATGTCCATTGCAGGGAGTTTACGACAAATAAAAGGCTGGAAGAGGTCGTTCACATCATCTTGAACAAGTTGGAAGAGGACTTGGACAAGAAAGAGAATCAACCGGTCAATGTCAAGGACATCACGATACCAGCAACTGCTGGTGTACTAAGCCATTTGTGCTTTGGATTCGAGTAAGTACGATGATAGCCTAGCTCGAAGGGGAGATTCGAAGATGTCCGGGAGAAATATGTCACCGAAGGTTTAGAGGTATTACTCATTTTTCCTAAGACGTAAGTGTGCAGTGTACACACCACGATCAACTGTGCGAGCAGGTGCATCCACTACAGTACTTATACCATTGCGACCAAATACTAACATTGTATATGTGCATGTGGATTGTGTATGATTGTTACTGATTTGCGATTTTCTTCCGTGTAACACCCTGTGAAATTCTCCAGTTGGATAAAGGATATATCCATAGCTCCATGATTCATTTTTTTCAATGCGACATTTCAACAGGGGAAGCTGCCACGATGCGTGCAGGCCCCTCTCAGACAGATAATAAAGCCATTTACCCAAAGGGATGTATATGGCATATCCCCAGACAGTTACATATTATGGAAAACGCCATGGGGATTCTAATCACGTACAACGTTTCGGGTCGCTGCTTAATCCAGGCACCCGAGAGCACCACCAAGGAAGAGACTGTCTAGCGAAATAATGTTAGTGCCATTTTGCCGATCCAGTGCTTTTAATCAAACGGTCACATTATGTAGACGGAAAGCCATTTGTAGGAACTGAAAAGCGAGGTCAATTTGTGGGCTGGCAAGCAGTCACTAATCATCTGCCGTAGGCCAAGTATGTTTCAGAAGGAAGTTATTAACTGCGCATGTCCCGTTTTAGGATCATTTGCATGCGTAATAAGGGCCACGGGAATTCGTGCCAGGCAAACAGCTGCTTCATTTCATGAATGTTACGTCTTATTTTCACTTTTTGGAAATACAAATTCCTGCCCAAAATATTTTCATGGTAAGATAAAGCTTTTTCTTGACTTGTTTTGCGAAAATAAAATTGAGAAATAGTACCAGAGTGGTCCAAAATGGTGGTTTTTGTGAAGAGCTCTTTTCGTAAGCGGTAGTTTGTTTACGTTTTGATGCGATTTCGAACGCTCGAAACAAAGAATTCGAACTTTTCCTGAAGTTTTCAAAAGTGGGCTGTGGTGGAGAAAGGTGTGGAAATTTTAGATTAGCTGACGGTTTTCCGCTAGATTCTTTCTCTTCCCGACCGGACGCGTTTGCACATCGACCTAACTCAGTCAGCACTGATTCCGTTCATCCCAAATCTACACGGCCTTGCGAGCGTTAGAATTCAGTGACTCGGGAACAAAAGACGAACGAAAAAGTACAGTAAGTTAACATGAATTAAGTTTATTATTGAAACCGAGGTCTATCTATCATTATAAAATTGCCAGGAAAATGTTAAAGTTCACGATACATATCCCCAGGTTTACATGTACTCTACACACATGAACCACATGAACATGTACCAGCGGCTCCGTCGAAAATTTGTGTGTACCCGTACATGCACATGTACTGTATATGTACGCCGCGGTACGCGTGACAGGCC